CAGGTATCAAGTATCAAAAGATCTAAAACAAACAAGTATATTGATGTGAATGAGGAGGGTTGGAGTGGAGACCCAAAGCCCACCTGTAGACAATTGGACATCTCCCCACAGAAGGGTTACAAAAGGGACAATTCAACCAGGATACAGTACAGCACCAACGAAACACACCTCATTCCTCTAGTCCTGAAGGCTGCCCCCACCCCCACTACCATGACCCAGTTCTACCTTACAAATCTGACTAGACAAGAGTACACACTTTGGTACAGATAAGAGCTTTCAATACATGGAATTCAGGACAAACCCTCATGAACAGTAATAGGAGTACAGGGTGGGGGGGCGGTGTTACCCATCACAAGGTTGGATATATAGCCCACCCCCCACGGGGGAAAATAATAGAAATATGGGTGAAGGGAGACAACTGACAGGGCAAGACATGAAATAGCAATAATATATAATAGATCAAGGATTCATGAGGGTGGGAAGGTAGGGGAGGGAGAGGAAAAAGGAGGAGCTGATGCCAAGGGCTCAAATAGACACAAAATGTTTTGGAACTGTTGATGGCAACATGTACAAGTGTGCTGAATATAAATGAATGATGGATTGTCATGAGATTTGTAAGAGGCTTCCAATAAAAGGATTAATAAAAAATAAATCAAATGACATATCACATTGGAAAACTCTGCTGCACATGACCTCTTTAAAGTGTTGAAGAGCACAGATGTCATTTTGAAGACTAAGGTGTGCCTGACTCCAGCCATGGCATTTCCAGTGGCCTCATAGGCATGGGAAAGCTGGACTTCCAATAAGGAAGCCTGCAGTGGGATGCACATGGTAGACAACTGGGGAGGAGGTGGGGAAAGGGGAAAAAAATGATGAAAATAAGGAAGAAAAGGGTAGTGGGGGCACAGGGCGCTAACCCACCCAAGGGGAGGGTATTATTTATATTTCCACAGGAAAAGAGGGACCAGACATCAACCCAGTCCTCCAAGGTGTGAATGCAACATGTCTGCGAGGAGTAGGGAACCAGTGGAGAGGTCTGGGGG